CATTAATTTCACACAATTCCGTTCGTTTCATAACATATTCGTTCACGTAATATTTGCGCTAATGTCTTTCGAGACTTGGAGTGTTGTTGAGTGTCTCAGTAATAAAACACACGGTGATTAAAGATATACAGTAGCTATGTCACGTCAGCATCGGTTCTTGGTTCGTGAAACACCCTTTACTCCTACAGATGTTGTGCAAGACTAAGCAAGGACGTATTGATCATGTGTTGTATCATACGGGATTCGGAAGGCAACGATTATAATTCAACACATAGCCTCCATTGAAAGGATGTACGTGCCTCGTTCAAGTTCAATGATTTTGGTTTTATCGCAAAAACTTTTGGTTCTTTCATACTTTATACTGACCCAAGAAAGGCTTGTAGCATTTGCTTATATAAATTATCGTTTGAAAACGCCGATTCCTAAATCATTGTATACTGGTTAATCATTTTAAAATGGTTAGTTCCTTCATAGATCATGTAAACTTCCTATTATGTATTTTTTTATTGTTTTAAAACATTGTTTTTATTTATCTTAGCCAAACCTTGTTATAACACGTACAAACCATGTGATAACAATGTTAAATGCGTAACGAAAAATATATATAATTATAGCTTGTGGCTATGACTTCCCACTTATTATATTTCGATCTTAATTGTTTTTCCATTAAACATTTTACAGTATCATCACAGGAATCTAAATATATAAAATACATATATTCATAATTTAAATACAGCCATTTTTATAAACTTATTTTAAATATTCCTAAAATTCTACTATTCGTTTATATATTTTATAGTTCGCCTATAATCTACATTTATAAGACGGTGCATTTTAAAACGTCAGTCTAATTATATAGTTACAGAGACCAAAGTGTTACAATAGCTTATTAGTGTTGCGATAATGACTTAACATTAATTTCGCTATTTTAACAAAGAATATAAATGTTATTTAGATTTAACAAAATGATTTTGTATGAATTAATAGTATAAATTACTCTTAGTTTTCTGAAATAATTATATTATTATGAACAAAATCTTTTATTATTTATATATAGATAATATATATAATGCTAATGGTTTTTCATTGCTTTAAAAAAATCGACGTCCAATGATTGCTTAGCATTTACTTTGATAGAGATGAGTTGAAGGTTCGACCTTTTAATTCGTTAGTGCTGTTAGCTGTCCGACATCGAATTGATTGATCTAATGCGATATCTAATTTCTAATTAATTTATATTATATATGTATTACACTATACGTATTCATTTATAAAACTCTGTAATCTGTGATATCGTGTGAAGTGTTTCATTACGCTGCGGTTAACCAAGGTTTTTATTAAAAGCAATATAAACTTTAAACAAAAAGATTGAAGGCTTACCTAATTTCTCAGTCACACGCTCGGAGCTTTAATTGGTTTCCTATGACTTAATCATCAATATAAAATTACCGAAACTAGGATGATGTGCTCATAGAGATTAACTTATACGTGGATCTTAATTTTAAAGATATAAAAATACTAAACTAGACAATGACCAGATATTACTATAAGAATAATGATGATAAGTAAAAAATCATCCAATAATAAAATTTTGACTAATGTCAATGTTTTCAAAGCATGTTCATTAAGTTTCGTAGATTGATTTGAAAATATACTATAGTATATTTGTGATAGTAATAATAAGGATCTCAATATAGTCCGTTGAAGTTATCTGTGATGACATATAAATATACTTAGTCATTTGTATTGAGCTATTGACATCATAATTCGCCTTCGATACGAAGTGAAAGTAATATACAATGTTTTGTATCGGTTTACATACTGGCCTTTTGAGATTAATAAAAACCGATGATATAGAATATTTAAACATATTTGAAAGAAAATTCTTTAAGTTCACTGGAACGGAAGATTAATTCGGATATAATTTTAATAAAGCCATTATGTTATTACGTGCAGGATTAAGTACACTTTCTATGAGATTGACTTCCGCGATTTAAGAATCACATCACGTCTTAATGATTTGAATCTCATGTCATTTGGGTGTCATTAGAGGGAACTTACAAGGAAGATGTTATGATTTGAAGACACGGAAGATAAAGATGTAAAGAAACGTAATTAATCTTTTATTGCTGTTCGTAATGCTTACAATATATGCGTTTGTAACTACACACAGACACACACACACACACATATATATTTAATAATAATTATTATTATTATTTATACATTGAGTTCAAATATTTCTTGGTACCCAGTTAATGAAAATTGTATCGGATAATGATACAAAAATTTAAAATCAATACGCAAATCTTTCCGAAAATACAGTAAGAATTTTATTAAGATTTTCATATTTCCTCACCTCACGTATGTACATGTTTTTGATATAAACGAATGACATAGGGCGCCTAATATCTATCTAATTAATAAGATGAGATTTTTTTCCGTGACCCTTGAATTCAGAAGCTTAGGTACGATATTTTATGTGAGGCTAAAATGACAACGAAGTGAATATAATGCAAAGAATTTACAAGATCGGTTTATAGATGATGCAATTATTACTGAACTTAAATAAATAAATGGTTTATTTGAAAATAAATAATATACCATCATGAAATAATTTGGCATGATTTAATGCAAAATTAATTTGGATCTATTCTATATCTCAATACAAAATCCTTTTTGTAAATGTTAAGTGACTTATAAGGATAGTAGAGCAAATATTAAATTGTTAGCTGCGGTCTGCTACAGTAACTCTTTTAAAGGGCGAGGTTATTTTCAGTTGGACCAAATAGGGCAGCGCATGTGAAAGGTATACATACAATAATTTATCCCATTATTTTATTACACATGAATCAATGATTAAAACAGATTTTATTATTCAGATTTTAAATTAAAATTTTAATGTTCGTTCAATAAAATTCTTAATGTCATTTTAAGGTTTAAAATTTGCTAATAATTCTTATGTGACTTGAGAAACCTTTTGGAAATATATATTACATAAAATTTAAGATTAATATTCATTTATAAATCTGGAGTCGTATGTTTTTATTATATTTTACCTTTATGTTGGATCTGTGTCCATCAGCCTTGACAGATTGCTAATGACCAAACTGCGAACTAGGATAGGCGGAGTTAAATTATCATCAGATTTATCGTACCTATACTATGTATATGTGTTCTTACGAGTAAATTTTCATTGATCAAGAAAAAACTAGTTCCGTTTATAAATAGCTAATGTTATAAAAAGATCGGTTTTAATGAAGCCGTCGATCAAAGTGGTGAAATGATTATATTTCAAGTATCAGTCCGGTTTCGAAGCCTATAAATTGATATGTACATCGTCCTTGCGAGGAATGCGAGGTCAACACGCCTTGCCCGGTCGCGTCTTGTGGAACATAATTGTTGTTTCAGACACAAATCATTCCGTATTCTTTGCATGTCATTATGACTACCTATACCTATATGATCCCTAACGTTATACGTAAAAGGCGTTAGCTAGTCTTTCTTGTTGCGATCGCCTTTGATGATAGATTTTTTTTTCTCAGTTTGCGTATTGATGCAAAATGCTTACGCAAGCTATGACTCGGGAGATGAAATTATCGCCTAATGATATACGGAAACGTCCGCTGAATTAAGTTCATAGTTCAGTCTATGAAGCTATGAATTAAGCTGACATTTAAGCAGAACATAATTTATGTATGGGTTTAAAAATATATTTTTTGCATGCAATTCATTAAAAATGCATCAAATTTATTAAACATATTAAAAATACATGTATATTATTATGTTTTCAATAATCGGCGGTTAAATTAATTAATGTCGAACGAATTGAGTTTCGTTTACGTCATTTACATATAGTACTTTGTCACGATCATATTATATAATGAAGCCTTTAAAGATTACTATATTGGGCATTTAAAAGCTGTTCGGTATTAAAAAAACTCCTTATAGTTATCTTGATAATGCATTCTGTTCCAAATTGTAGTTGCATCTATTAAATAATATAAAAGTTAATGCCAATAGTTCTACGATAGACAATTATTTTAAATATACAAAATATATTTTTTCATAGAATTTTATTTTTATATTTAATAAATGTATCTCTTTCGTGCTGCGAATTACGTCACTGTAGAAAACGAAAATTGCTCTTGATTACGTTACAATATCTGAGATAAAAATTAAAAAAATATATAAACTGTTTTGCATAACTTTAACCTTTAAGTATGTATTATTCTCTACGAATGTTTTTCCTGTACTAAAAGTTTTTTAATATGTATCCGTTTACGTAAAAGTAACGGACAATTATGATTTATATCACACCTTTTATGTTGGCATTCTGAAATTCATATGATTTAATTAAATTAATGATTTCTCTGATTATTTTTATGATTCTTCCATACATTTCCTAGTTATGGTCAAAAAATATATATCGATATAAAGTTTCTGATTATTATCAATGTTTTGTAAAAATTATTACGATTTTGTTTGTAACTAAATTGTATACACAATATGTTGAATAATTCTAAGCAATAAATATAATGTGTCGTATTTATAGCGGCCAGTACAAATGGATAATCTTCCGAGAAATGCAAATGTCTCGTAATTCTTACATCTTCCATTTATATGAATATGTATTTAATAAACAACTAAATTTATTAAATCATGAGATCCAACATGTGATCACAAGGACTCATATAATATTCATATGTTATTCATATAAATATATTTATTATGTAAGGTCGAATCCAAAAATATTTTTCGGTTCAGTGAAATAATTTAATAGGAAATAAATTATGCAAAAAAATAATTTAACTCTTCTTGTGTGTCATATATTTCGAAGTATTCTATTATATTTTCAGAATAATGAACAAAATTTTTGTAGAAGTTATATAATTATAGTATAAAAAAATTTGCTTACCTATATCAGACTTATATGGTTTAATATGATCATAACTTAGTGAAATCAAATATCCCATATATGAAACCGATTTTGTTCTCAGTTGCGAGTACCTTTACGACAAGTGCTCCGTCCCCGCGATCTGCTCGTCATCATCAACAAACGCCACCTCAAGGTCGGTATTAAAGGCCAACCTCTCATCATAGACGGCGAATTAGACGCCGATGTCAAAGTTGAAGAATCCACGTGGGTCCTACAAGATGGAAGAAATCTCCTCGTCAACTTAGAGAAGGTACTTATCCTACTTACATTATAATTGCGAAAGTTTGTGATTGTGTGTGTATGTTTGTTACTTCTTCACGCTCAAACGGTTAAACCGATTTTGATAAAATTTTGTATACAGGAAGCTGATGTCCAGGAATAACACATAGGCTACTTTATATCCCGGAAATCTGCGGGTAACACTAAGTTTGTAAGTGTGTGTGTATGTTTGTTACTTCTTCACGCTCAAACGGCTGAACCGATTTTGATAAAATTTTGTATACAGGACAGCTGACGTCCAGGAATAACACATAGGCTACTTTACATCCCGGAAATCCGCGTGTAACACCGCGGGAAGCAGCTAGTTTTATATAATTGGAAAACGTCTTTATGTTGATTTAGATGTAGAATATATGTATATTATATAATGGCTTATAACTTATCTATGTGCATTCTCATGAAACAGAACATACAATACAATTGTTTCCTAATTCGTTGCCGTTGTAATAATTACATATTAGTTATTACATGATGTTAAATCATAATTATTACAGGTAAACAAAATGAATTGGTGGGGAAGATTAGTTACGACAGATCCGGAAATATCAACTAGAAAAATAAATCCAGGTAAGATAAATTTATATATTATTTTATTTTCAATATAATTTCAAATTAAGTGAGCTTGTGATTTGTACCAAAATTAATTTCAAATCGTTGTTTTAATGGAACAATAATATTACGATTAAAATCTATGATTCGAACCGAGCTATGAAACTAATTGCAAATAGTTAATTCGCAATTTCGACAGTAGGTAACTACATATTAATCATAGTTATATTAAATATATTTGAACAATTTTGAGATAGTGAGAACACTTAAATATTCTACTTAATTTATTGCATTAAACTGTTCATATACCTAAAATAAAGTCGTGTCATTTTCGCTACCTATAATTCAAAAATTGTATGGATTTGGCTAAAAATTGGTCGGGAGATGGATTAGTACCAGGAGATGGACGTAGGCATTTCAACCCATTCGAGCGAATAAAAATAACTACGTAAAATCCAATATCTACTTTTTCTGCATCTAAGGCGGAACAGCGTTAGCCTGGTCAACTATACATTTTTAATTCTGAAATTCTCGTAAACAAAGTTGCGGGCAAAATCTAATAATTTATAAACACGGCTTTAATTATTGTTACAAAATCACAATCGTGTGCTATTCAATCATGACGTCAGCATGAGATTTGAAATATGAATCAGAACTTAAATAGAAAATGTAGAATTAAAAATTCAATGTCCTCCAATAATCCGAAGGTTTTAGTATGAAATCCTTTGTTCTATGATTTTAATTTGAATTTATTCCCAGAATTTTAAATTAACGTATATTATGTGTATTACAGAGCCGTCAAAACTGTCGGATTTGGACGGAGAGACCCGGGGACTGGTTGAGAAGATGATGTACGACCAGAGACAGAAGGAAATGGGACTACCCACAAGCGACGAGCAGAAGAAACAGGACGTACTTAAAAAGTAATATTACTAATATAAATATACATTTCTAATTATTACAAAGGATTAAATTTCGCCGGTATTACACAACCTTTATGATAAAGAAGAATACATTTTATCGTATGGTAACATCTATCTTACAATAAAATTTCTTATCCAGAGCCGTAAAAACATTTGCAAAAAAATAATCTATTACATTTGTGGTCCAGCATTTTCGGGTTCTACCGAAACTTACGTATCTTCTGTTTCGGAAACTGATATTTTTTTGCATAAAATAAATGTTTTGAGAAAACAGACTAGTATGAATATATGAAACTTTTGGTACATTTATATATTTTTTCGATGGAAAAAATATCACAATATCACTTGATTATTGTAGATTTTAATAATCCATGGGATAACCTTCTGATACCAAAGAAAAGTCGGGGCGGATGTGTTGTATAATATAATATACGACCCTGCTCGGATTTGTATAATTCATTCTAACATGCGGATACAATGCTAATCAGATAAATCCTTGCTTATATTTTCATATAAGTCCATTACTAGGATCATATTATATGAATTAAGACACATTTCCAGTAATAATTTTTAAATTAAATAATCATTTAAACATTGAGAAATATATCACATTGGTCTTAAATTAAATGAAGGAAAATGTATATGGAATTTAAAATGTGCGAGTTTTCTAGAAACTATTGGACATGTTCAATGAGACAGGATAACGTTTAAGGTTTTATTAAACAGCAATGAGAAAGGATTCAGTATCGTATGTTAATACTCGCCTTGACGAGATTTTTTCCGGTTGCTTTGTATCAAATGTGTGTTTTAAATATTTTTTTCATTGTTTTTTTTGTTGCAGGTTTATGGAACAGCACCCAGAAATGGATTTCTCCAAGTGCAAGTTTAATTAAATTAATGCCATGTTATTAGTTATAAGTCTTGAAGTTTAATAATTTTTACGTGTCTGTATACAGGGTGATGTTGCGGATATTTTACTTTTCTTTTAAAAATAACAATAATAATTAAATCTATGTATTCTATTCAATATAGTTAAATATATTATATGTGAGAATTTATAATGATTGTATAAAATTTTAACTATATAAATGCAACAATGAAGAAAAATATGAAATCCAATACATTCACAATGTGATTTTCACATGACTATTTTGGGTTAAGATTTAATTTCATCACTGTCCTCAATATCACCCTGTTGTAGGAAATCACTACAATATACATTGAAAATCACATTTTTTTTGTGCTTTGCCGCATGTGGCAGTGTTTTAAGTTGGATTCAATGATATTTCACACGTATTTCAATGAACATGTTGTCATTAAAAAGATATATAATAAACATGTACCTACAAAAAATTGTTTTTTTTTTTCTTACTTAAGATTTATGTATCCCACTAGCACCAAAATGGCGTACCTTGATTCACGGTGGGGAGGCAGCACATCTCAAAATTTACCTCAATGCGTTAGAGATGAATCACCCAGATGATAGTAATTAAGTAAAATAGGGTAAAGGTATTAAAAAAGTTGCTATATCGGAAGGGGCAGTTACAACTACTACGCATTTGCTTATGGGATGTAGGGTACTCCTGGATAGTAGTCAATACTCGCTTCGTCACGATAGTATTCTAGAAATCATTCGTGAAGCGGTTAGTCTTTGGGTAGTCAGAGCCCAAAAACAGATAAACCACAAATGAGCAATGAATAGACTAGAAAATCAAGCCTTACTCTATCTTGAAAGTTGTTCCTAATTGGATTATGGATACGTATGAGAGGTAATATAGAATTCCAGATGATATTAATTGTACGTCCAGGCATCCAGACCAGATATATTTCTCTATTCGCGAATCATAAAGCGGATTGTGATAATAGAGCTTACGGTTCCTTGGAAACCAACATCCCAAAGACAACATCAAGGTCAACAAGTATTACGAATATGTTAAGAATAGGTTCGTTGTAAAATTGTACGCGGTTGACGTGGGAGCGAGAGGAATAACAGCTAAATCTCTACAAACGAAAAAAAAAATTTGGCCTGTCTAGAACCAGAACCAATTAATTCTTGGAACGTGCTTCGAAGGCAGACCTAGAAGTTTCATCAAAAATTTGGTTAGCTAGACAGAGGAGCTTGAACTGTGGAGGTGAGCGTTTAACGCGCATTAGGTTGGGGCCCCTAAACTCACACCTGGATCGCAAGTCCCATGTACTGTTAAAGCTCCTCTTCCTGCAACGCGATGGACCCGGATGGTGAATCCATGGAATGCTGAGAGGTTTCGTCTCATTTATACTTTAGTTTTATTTTCTACAACATGATTCGTTTAGTATTGGCTAAAATTAAAATATACCGTATATTAGATATATATAACTCTTAGAAAATACCGGTTTTTGTTAATTAAAAAAAACAGTAATTAAAAAAATTATCGTCTGTATTCTGCTTTCTTCGAATAATATAAAAAAGTATATTTCGCAATAATAATCTTATGTAGTTTTCATTATATTTTGTTCCTCTTCACGATTTATAAATGGATAGATCTTAAGCTAAAACTTTTTTTTATTTTATCTAAATTACAAGGAAAGAATATAAAAGAAAGTATCGAATTATACACGAGTTTTCGCGTACCAATTAGTCTCGAATGATATTTCTTTAATTTTGACAGCGATTCGCATCGAGTAAACTCAACCTTATAAGAGCGCGTTTTGAGTATTCATGTTTTTATTCATAAATAAGCATGGTAAAATTATAAACTTATTTGTTTATTATTATCATCATATATTTTTTAAAAAACTAAAAAAATATATAAATCTAATTATTGATTTAATTGAAATCATTTGAACACACTTTTCAAATGATTTTAATTCACATGGAAACGTCAAACCTAAAAAACCGTATCAAAACATTTATACTTTTCACTGTCAGATGTCAACCAACTGTTCGCCACGACTAACAAAATAAATAATCTGATACATATATGAAAACTTTATTACAACTATTAATCCAAAATGGTTAGAACGGTTTATTCGCCAGAATATTGTCTTCAATATCTAGAACAATATGCTTCGCAGGAAACATTTGTGTTGGGGTTGATTTTAGGCCAGGTAAGTAATTATTAATGTTGTCCTTATTTAAACTCAGTTATTATGTATATTAAATACTTTCAGATATCAAATGCACGTGAAAATGTTATCCATCTGGCTAGAACTCCTGAAGAGAAACCGGTAGAGTCATCATCAGAAGCTAGCTTCACATCGGAAAAAACAGAGTTAGTGCATAATTTATTAGCAGTTTCGGAGGCGTGGGTAGCGGATCACGCTAGACATGTTACTCGAATGCTTCCTGGAGGGATTTTCGTACAAGGTATTTAATATTAATTGTTACAAGACTTCATGAAAATATTATGAAATTTAAGAAAAGCTAAATAATAATTTTAATTCTTACTCAAACATATTTCAACAGGGATCTTTATAACAAGTGATGAAGATATCTTTGAAGATCCAAATCATTTTAGCAAAGTTAGAGCTGTGCTTAATTATGTTCATAAAGCATTAGGCATGAATCAGTTTATGTATGGAAATTACACAAATTTAAATGAAAAGCTCATACTTCATATGTCCACAAGCACAAAGGTTCTGACATGTAAGACTATTGAAGTAGGCGTCGGTAAGAATTCAGCTATAAAACCTGTGGATTGGAAGTTTTTACCTAAACATCAGCAATGGCAGCGTTTAGATTGTTACTATGAATTTGATGAAGTTTATCCTGTGATAGTAAAGAAAAGTGGAATATCTGTTAAACAACAATTTCAGGTATTTTGATTAAAAAATTATTATACACTTTTTAAAGAGTAACAAAAATATATTTTACAATAGTTTAATAGATTTCTGTATACTTTACATAAATAATATGTCAATTTATAGTATAATACCTTAATATGAATTGTTTATATAACAGTGTACTTTCGGTAATCTGGCGTCTGACTAATTTGACACCCCTTGTAATCAGACATGATCTATTATTAGGCAATGAATATTTCTTTGTCAATCATCACTAAAGTTTGGTTGGGTTGTATGTTATCTTGAGTCTGCTTGCCTAGATTGAATTTGACTTATAATGATGAAAATAATGGAATTATTTTTCATTGAGAAAAAATAGAATAATATAGAATCTTAATACGAGTAAATTTAGTCTTGTAAAAAATTCCATATGATAGGGGGTCTAAATCAGTTCTGGATGATCTTACAAATTGGATAGACTGACAGTGTCCCTGCAAAAGGGTTTTTCAGATTACTGGGGCTCATTGTACATGTAATAAAAATGTAATGAATTACTATCTGTATATGGAAGACATATAAGAAAAAATATTTGAATTTATATGCATCTGTGACATGTAAGTTATCTATCGTAGCAGATTGCATGATTTGATGCCCAATGGGCATATATTAAGTATTTGAAAAAGAGAAGAATTATTTTCATTCACATATAATGCCAAAACAATATTGCATAAAAAACAAAATATCTAAAAAAATCTGTCCAAATTCACTATTCAATCCAGACAAAGTAGCCAGTATAAGTAATAAATAGTTATTTATTTTTAATTCCACAGCAAATTTTAGAATCTGCAAACAAAACTATTTCATCCAGTGTTATGTTTATTGACGGTGAGCTGAAAGATGGTTCTGAGGCATTGGAGCAACTTGTTAAAAAGAAAAGACCCAAAAGTAGTACAAAATGTGCACAAGATACCCCTAAATCAATGCATGTGTCTTTATTTGTGCCTTTTGTAAGTACACTTCATATATATTTTTTATGGTAATTTACAATCGCAAAATAAATAGCCAAATTGTCATTAATATCTGGATATTAGCAAGTTTTCTATGTTTGATTCTCTATAGAAACCGTTAATAGTCAAAACATTGTCAGTTTTCATTTATCACATTTTATGTTTAATTTCACGAGAAATTTATTAAATGTTATATTTTCTACAATATATCTTGTATTTCGTGAACATTTACAAGCAGATGTAATTTTATTTAGTAGCTAGTTAAGTTTAATTTCATTACACCATATCAGGAGTTTAATCTCCCAAAGGTTCTATGTCGGTTTTACTTTGGTAAAACTGTTTAATATATCTGAATATTTTGTTATATTTCCAGGAAAACAGTCTGCCAGAAACAGTGGAGTATTTGGAGTGTGATGGAAGCATTCATTTCAGTGGTGTTGTGTCATCGAGTGTGTTCATGTACCCCAAAGCCACTGTTAGCGAAGCTATCTTAGCGGTAAAACAGGACATAATAAGATCATTAGCTTCTCGGTTCACCATGCACTGTGATGCTTTGATTGATGATAATTTATTACCTGAGGGTAAGAATTTTTAGTTTATAACTATTGTTTCTTAAAGTTCAGTCAAAACCTTTTTGGTTATATAACTAGGGACTTCAATTTATTTCACATCATATATTTTCAATATATAAAGACCATGAGAGAAATTTGTAGTGATTAATACAATAAAATTATATTAAATCTTTATAAATAAACTAGATTTTTTTTTGATTACTTTTATAGCTAGAATATATGGTCCCATATTACATAATTTATATAATTTATATAAGGAGGAAATACATACAACATTTTTTTTAAAAATTGAAAATAATATTTTTTATGAATTATTTCAGAAAAAGTATGTTTCAATGAGCCACCAAGACGAGTGTTAGTTCCAGTGGGTTCCTTATATTTTTGTGACTATCTTTTCCCCGGGGAGGCACCTGCTGAGGCATTATTGTCTGTTAAAGAGCTATTAGACTTACAAATAACAGAGAGTGAGGTCATTTGTGATGTGGAAACTCCCGCAGGTAAAATATATTACTTTACTAACAAGCTCCAACTAAAAAAATAAGAAGCTTTGACTAAACAATTATATAAAACAAAGATACATTTACTATTTTAAACAATCATATTTTGAGATTCATTGGATACTTCATATTAATAGAATTATGTAACAAATCTTCATCAGAAAGGTATTCCTTTGTTTAATTTTCTAATTACCTTATTAAAAAAGACTTATTTGGCTATATGTTTTTTTTTATTTACATAATCATTTACGTATAAATATATTTGTAACTATTTTATTTTATAAATGATGGAACTAAAGATACAATTCTTATAATTTATTTCACAGATACATCAGAATTTGATGCTCTTGATAGGGATACAAGTAGCGAAGAACTTTTAGCGACCCCTCAAGAAGCGAGCCAGTTCATGTATATAACAGGCATATGTTTTGCTATGCTTGTTCTCTTTGTGTCAATTCTAATACATTACTATGATGCCATTGTTCACTTTATTAGTAATGTAGTGTCTAGATCTTAGTTATTATATAAAGTTATGTTAATTGAAAAACTAATTTTTAATTTTCAGACTCATTAACTAAGAATATGTATTATTTAAAATTAACATTCTTATAAATGTAATTAACAGATTTTACAATATGAATTTATAATTGAAATGTGCATAATGAAATTGTATTAAATTTGTATATCAAAAGCAGACATTGCCGACTGTTCCATATGTATTTCTAATAAGGTTTATTGTAACTTAGCCTTAATATATGATGTGCACCTGTTTTGTACAGACGTTGTGTATTTAGTCTCATAAAATAATTTTTTTACACTCACATAGTTTTCTTTCCTTATCTTATGCAAACCCAGTGCCGGCGTTAGGGGTGGGGGGGGGCGATGGGGCGACGGCCCAGGGTGCCAAATTTGGAGGGGCGATTAGTGGAGGTACGATACTTATAAATGAAAAAAAAAATAGGAGCTACATAACTTTCTACGTCCACGTCGTTAGCTCTGGGTCACGCTAAAGGAAAGATGGTAGATGGAATATAGAATTCCTAATACACGTTCAGTGTTGACATTGGTTCAGAAAAAAATTAATACTCGATTTTGATTTCTTCAAGTGGGCGCCAAAAGAATCTTGCCACCCTGGGCAGTCAGTCCCTCTAACGCCGGCACTGTGCAAACCTATTATGAATATACATAATTTGTTAAAACTGTAAGAAGCAAAAAATCACCATGATAAAGTAAATAAATATTTCAAATAAATATGATTATAAAAAAAATTGTTAAATTTGAAAAATATAAAATAATAATATATTGAAATAAATTAATATATCAATAAATAAAGTCAAATGTAAATGTTCTAATTTCAGGGTCCCTTAACTTTTTTTCCACTCAAGTAACAAATATATTTCAAATGTATTTTGTAAAAAATCAGTAGATTTCGGTTATAATTACAAGAGTACTTTAATTAAAAATAACAATCATTATTATATCGGCATTTTCCATAACTTAGTATTGAATAAATAAAATACCGATTCATATACTATAAAATATTATAGTAGATACTTTTGGTAGGATTATATAAATTCTTAAACAGAATTATCAAAGCGTTACGTTGAAAGTTTTCATTGTAGGAATGTAAATAGAAAAAATATACGGATTAATGATCATAGTATTGACTTTACAGCGCCATCTGTTGGTATATTTTTCAAATATTGTTGTTATTCAACAGATGGCAGGCGTATCGGTTGTCATTCTATTACAATGCTACCAAAGAAAATGTTTAGATAACACGTGTTTTTTCTTCGGAGCAATGTAAATTAATTGTCATTCTTTGGAGCGACAGAGACATCCTACAACTTCTGTCAAGCATTTGATCGGATAATTTTGCCTTAATGATTGTAGAATCTTGTAGAGATAGGCGCATACCATTATTGTCTGTTGCATTTTGTTGCTTTAATTCTAGTATGACTATTCGGTAAATTTGCAACTTAATATAGCCGTATAATATTGTTATTTCGTATTGTGTAGTGTGTTGTGAATCGTTATATCAATAAATTGTATGTGTAGCGAAGTGTTTTGTAAAAAAAATGTGATTAAGAATATATATTTGGTGAAATCTTGTGATAAAATTTATCAAAATGTATTTGTGTGCGTGTGGATAATTATTCAGAAAACCGGTTTTAATACATGTTTTCTGTGAGATAAGTCTTAAGGACTGGGTAATTGTTTACAATGGCGTTTTCTTTGAATAAACTTAAAAATATTTTAAATGGCAATAAAGACAATCAATTGGCTGGAAGTGGAAGTTTGGAACCAGAAATTGGTTTCAAATTAGCTTTGCATCCAGTTAGCAAAAATATGTATGTGACTGTTATCGGCGCCCGGCATTTGCCGTCATTGTTTGGACTCAGTCGCGCCTATGGATATCTTGTAAAGGTAGTAATTAATAATTTGATATGAATTCCATAGTCACTACTCATTACTACGAGTTGTAGTTTACAACACCTTAAAAGGTTCACCAGAATTTTACAAAATATCCTTTTTATTTAACTGATACTCTGTTTAATAATATAAAATTGTTGGAACATTTACTGCGTGCTACTTTAACAAATGAGCGGTCTGCGGGAAATGGGAAACGAGGAGTCATCAAATTAGTAGTCTAAAAGCGAAGTTACCCATTAGAGCGGTAGTTAAATATTGACCAGTAGGTACATCATTTTAGGCATAGGTATATTGGGTCATGTCATATTCATTGAACCGTTTCATATTTCATAAATAAGAAAGTAAAAAAATTACAATGAAAACAACCATTATTAAACTATCTTGGTTCATGTACCTAATATAAATACATATGTTGAAACGGTTATCCGTTAAAAAAACATAAGTAGGTATGTGTTTAATCGTTAGTTTTTGTTTGTTGCCGACCTTTCTAATGATAAACTTTGGGATAAGAGATGATCGAACGAACCGAAACATTTGTGAGCAAAAAAATGTTACTGTATACATTCAACACTTATCCTTGAGAATTGTTATGTTCTCAGCGGCGGTGCATTAATACATGGTAAGGTATTCTGTTAACCCTACTATAAGTTCTCGACTTAAACAGATGCTAATCTTATGAGGAAACAAAAAATGCATAAAAAAAATTCACATTCGTTCAAGTTCTTTGCATTAAAGTTAGACTATAGGTAATTATATTATAAAAACAAGATATAAATCGTTTTGTACTGCACATTCCTCAGTATATCATTTTTAACATTGAATAAACGTCGAATTGGTTTTCTAATTAACGGAATGGCCCGCGATTAAAGCTAATTAGGCAAGCAATACGTGCGGGCTGATAAATATATATTAACGCTTTTAGATACACGTACTAGCAAAATACTAGCTGAGGTAATAATGATATACGTCAACATTAACTGTACTACAATACGAAACCTGAATAATTTTGGTTTATATTCTATATAAATATTCTATCTATTTAAACGTTTATTTCGTATCGTAAAAATATGAAGACTTCCTTGTTTGCCTACATATGTTCGACCCGACATTCCAATATTCTATTCTAAATAAACAAGAGTACTGTTACGTCTTCCCCAATCCGTTAAACAAATAAATACAAAACTTCAAAACATGTTCCTTGTTTGATATTGAAAAATACTACTACATGTTTTGCGTCTAATAAATACCTATATAGGTACATATATTATAAATACGTCTGCACTGCTTTATACCGTATTATTACTTTCGTTATCAAAATTTATCCTTATCAACAATATATCGATGCGTCCATGAACAATAATGTATCATCATCCCGTCACTTCAGTAATTTTATCAAGTTACAAGATAGTATTTAAGAATAATCATAATATTAGCGGAAAGAAAAAGATTTGCTTCTTGTTAATTATTTCTTATATAATATTCTACTTATAACACCTAATTGCTTTTCCCAGTATGATTGAAATAGTCTTATTATCAATTGTTTCAGATTAAAATATTCCCCGGCGAAAGTAAATACGAAACAACATTACAAGAGAGCTCTTGGCCGATATGGAATGAGGATTTTAAATTTCAATTGAAACAAAAGGATGCTAAGAAATCTGATAAAATTGACCTACAGAATTTAGTTGCTGGACATTTCCTTTCATTGACGATTTACGCCATATTGGACTCCCCGAAACCGGAGGCGGACAGACGAAAGAGTGCCAAACTGACCGATACCAAAAACTCTAAATTAATGAATGAGGAAGATTCTAAAGCGAAGGGATTATTTGAGAAAACATTCAGCAGTTTTAAGACGACTAAGTCGGAGGCGGTTACTCAAAAATCCATTCTAGAGAAGAGGAGGACTCTAGGAGCCGCGACGTGGAATTTCGATTCCAAGTTATTCCAGAATGATCTCAAGAACGGCTTAATTGGAACTCCAGATATTTGGAGGCCTATAAATGCCATTGCTAGCGGACTAGCTCCTTCCGATAGTCGGGTGAGCCAGAATTTCTTGTATTTAACCCCATTTATCTCATAATCTTTGCTATTATGGAAGCAGATCTCCCGTAACTTTGATGATTAATAATGTTCAGTCGTTAACTTTAATGACACTCTCAGAAACTTTGTTTTTGTATAAAAGAGCTTTAATAGCCATTGTCGAGTCGACGGAGTTAATATTATTTCTAAGTCAGTATTGTTACACCTAAACTGTTTATGTACTTTTAATTAATTTGCACGCGTAAATGATCGTTAAATTATAAGGATCTCAGCATTTTAGTGCGAGTCAAGGTCGTAGCACAAAAAACGAATAATATTATCGTCATCGTCTCGTTCTTCTGATTGGAATAAATTTATGATAAAATAACTATCGTGCATGACATAAGTGTGTGATAATTTCTTGCATAACATATGAGTCAACGGTCTGCTTGATTTTTATGTTCTTGTATCTTACATACATGCTCTGACAATAGAATAGTTCTGACCTCGACCGATCCCAGTTAGGGACCATTATTACAACGTAACGGCCTTGATTCGTCTGGCTTTTAAGATGTATTTTTATAACCATTATATAATTACCGACTTTTATTTATGAAGCGGTTGTCTGTTCGTGTTAATTATACGTCAAATGGGTGATTAATATGTTATCTTTATGTTCTACCGAGTAATTTTAATATACCTACGGGTACATTTACATTATACACGTGGTTTATTGAAGACGATAAATTTAAATGTATACATTTTTTAAAATTGTATACTGTTTAAATTAAAATATGTATTGTAGTTCTTCGCCAATACAGTGGACGGAAGTGTGTATTTTTCTGCGGTTTTCATTCCTTTAGAAGCTCATTTCAAATTTAAAACGCAACAATTTCTTTTCTCATTGCAATAGTTTTCTTGTATTTTAGTTTTCTTTGATAGAATCAGTAAGAATGTTAGATACAAGTGTCACTAAAGCCACTGAAAGACTTTGTGACCTATCTTGTGAGATCTATAACATTTACTATTTTATTGCGATGATCATCTTCTACTGTAAACTAAATTCAATTCAATCGCATTTTTGTTCCTGTACTTCAAGTATTTTTCTTTTTTTATTAATAATGGTGCACCATTTGTAATAAACGAAATGTTAGAACATTATCCTAGAGGAAATTCGTTTAGAAAATTCCGAAATAAAATGACGTAATCGATTGATTGAAGATTGTACAACGCATTGAAAATAACGAGCCTATTTATAGTATGAAGGATGTTCTATTTATAAACTCAGTAAAAATATTCAATAACTGTCAATTTACATACCCAATGGTCGTATTTTAAATCTAGGTTAATATTTTTCTTATCTCTTGTTCAAACTCGGTTAGTTTAGTTAGTATAAGAAAGTATAAATAAAGATTTTTATAATAATAAAAGATAAACATTAGTATGAACAATATTGCATCGTTAATTTTTTTTTGTTCCGCGTATTAATCATTTTCTCCCGAAAAAAAAAATGTTCATTGGGCTTAATGTGGATACATAATGGGGTTTCTCGTTTGAGATGAAATCGATAAGTAGCGATTGGGATTCTCTTCCCCAATTTTATATTTGCTATCTACACGTAATGCAAATGAAGATTATACCGTGGGCTATAATGCGATTCCCTTTTAGAGTTAAGGACTCGACTTTCGTAGGAGTATTTTTAATATTTATGATTTCCTTTGAATAGCTTGGAAAACTGATTACGTTTTTGGTATTGTTATACGTGGTTAGACTTAATTTAATGTAATTTGTTTTCAGAGGGAGAATAAGAAAGGTCAATTAGAGGTGACGTTACTTTATACTTCAAGCGAGGATGGTCTGAACGACGTTTTGCAGCTCACTGTTAACAGATTACGGTGTTCAGTACAAACGATGCAAGAACAAGAACAATACAAAGGTAACGTTTGCGGTATTAATTGAAAATGATACGTATTGATTATAACAATGGACGTTTGTTGTTTTCTAATAATATACCTATTACATATGATAATTAATATTTATATTTCTATTGTTCATCTGTGGTTTTAATTGATGATACTGCCATATATATAGACAATGAATACATAATTATTATTGGAAAATTACTTTTCTAGTTAAAGATATGTTGAGACAATTTATATGAACCCATTTTTCATCGAACTGTTTAAAATGATATAATTAATGCTGTTTTTTGTAAGGAATTTAATATGAATCGCGTTCGATATGACAATCTCAATTTGGAGTTTGGATCATTCGTATAGTCTATGTGTCCGAATACAAAATGCCGAAAGCAGATTGTAAATTATCATTGTATAAAATGCTTTATAACATTAGTAACTCATTTTATAAATTGCCGCGGCATTTTCTTGTTTTAATTTAGATAGGTTAATGTTAATAAAATGCCGAAGCGTTTGTAAACGGACATATTATACGAATTAAATGTTACATACACTGTATAGTCCGAATTGAATAAGTCTAGCAACATGTACCATATAACGCAAAATTCGCCACAAATTACCGCGTTTTATTATTAGTTGAACGTAATACAAATTAAATTGTAATTGAATTACATTTCGAATGTCGATTTGATAGCAAATAGATTGTTATACGTCTATCGAACATTTCAGTTAAAGTTAATTGTGCACTTGAGCGGTGATTGAGTTACTTTTAACTTACAAGTTACAATAAACTTGAAAAGATCTCGGCAGTCTACTTCGAATGAATGTAATTTGTGTTCGGAATATAAAGATCGTTCCATTCACTCACTCCGAATATAGGAGCTATTTGGTATTATGAGTGAAGTTATTTATTCACCGTTCACACAAAAAAAAAATCTTTTACAGTAAAACATATTTAGAAATATTTGTCAAAGTAATAAACATATACATATAAGCATTACGTGTTTATTATCAAATATATGCGAATAATTTTTGGATCCCGTGTTTAAAAATTAGTAACACTATTTCTACTAAGTTTATTTCAAAAAAATTCTTTAAATTGTTACTTATTAATAGTAAGCCAATATAATTGCGAAATATTTTTCGACATTCAATTCAACTATCATTTGAGGCATTTTATTTTTTATATACTTATGTATATAGTCCAACCATATATCTTGAGATTTTTACATTCCCTCCCTTATCTTTCAGTTAAAAATAAATCAATAACTAGAATCAATACAGTTATACATATTTTTCGTATGTCATCATTGCCATTGTATAAGGCTATGTTTATTAAAAAGGAGAGAGAGTTCTGTCCGTGTGTTGAATCATAAACAACACCTAACGCCAACCGCGTAATACTGCGTAATATATGCAAATTGCGATTGCTTTGAGAATCCTTACCAAGGATCTTATTTATGGCAATTAAACTTTGATCATTTTGATAAATAAGATATAATATTCCTTATTAAGGTGTAACTTTGATTAAACAACTAGTTTTTGTTACCGACTTTCTCTGTATGACGTCCGGAATTGGGCTCATAGAGAAATATATAAAGTATAATGAAATACCAATTTGTATATAGTAAATATTGTGTAGTGTCACCTATATAGTATAGTATGTAATATGTGACTTCATGCAAAAGATAATTTAAGTAATCTGATGTCTAAGCTACGTTACTGTAAAATTCCATTAAAATCTCTAATATCCTTTCTGTGTGGAAGAGCACTAACCAATAATTTCCTCACAAGCTTTCGGAAATAATAGGATAGTATCGGGAGAATCATTTATTAAATTAAAAACTAAACAGATGATTACGAAAATCGAGGAAAAAGAAGATTTATATATTGATTACTTTGAACAAATTGTTTTTTGCTATCGGTATTTTTTCTATTACTTTTCATAGGTCCTTGCGAAAACAAATAGGATTCTAATAAATCTGTATAAGACGAGGGTCGCGTGTTCCCTATGAGACCCCACTCAGTTCTAGATCCTCAATAAATTAGTGTTTAAACTAAACTTTCTTTTCAATTACAGCGCCTCTATACTTGAAAGCTACGATATTAGAAGCAAACAAGGCTGAATGTTATTGGAAGAGTGATAGATTTATACCGACCATCTCGGCGAGATGGGATCCAAAATCTTCTACGGTGAAGCTAACAGTGTATAAAGCTAACTTGAACAAAGTTAGCATATATATTAGCTTCGGATGCAAAACTAAAATGGCTAAGAAGGAAATATTAGGGAAGGTTCACATCGATGAGAAATCGCCGTACGCTGACAGCTGGAATGAATGCTTGAGACAACCGGGCATACCTAAGACTTTCTGGGTCAATTTTGAATAATACCCGTCCATGTAATATTCTTTATATAACGCACATATATTATAATAATCTTAAGTAATATGAAACGTCCAGAATAATATAAACAAAGGACGATCTTTATACTAATTTCATAAATATTTTGCTTTTGAATATGTCATAGGATATTGATGCTTATAGACATATTATAAGATACAATTAAATAAATTTTCGTATGAATATTAATAAACCTTAATATCACATACAATATTAGATTGTGATTACTTTGACGAAATGTATGACAATAATAAATTAAGCTGATTGTTAAAAGAAGTATTATTAAGTGAATTGTAATAATTTGGCCAGTATTAAGATTTAAAACCACACACAAATAATAATTTAAGCACATGACAAATATGATTAAGTTTGTATGTTTTTTCACTATAACATAATTTTTTATACAAAAATATTATTCCTTGATATATAAGTATATTTCTAAATTTCATTCCAGTTTTAAATTTACTCTTGCGAATTTAATGGAAGAATGGTTGAAAAAATTATATTCATTGAACCGAAATTGATTTGAATGTCCGATATAATGACTTTTTCCTTATAACTTTAGATATCTCGACTTATAAAATATAAATAACATTTATAATATATAAAATTATATACTAAATTCTATTTTTATTTCGTTCCTTTATCCTACTCGCTACATAACATAATACTTGGAGTATATGAATCACTTCGCTGTTTCTGAACGTCTTTTTATAAAAAGATTTCGTACTTTTTATCATAAAACGTTAAACGATCGTAGAAAACTCTCAAGAAGTCCCCAGAGACATAAGTCCATTACTAAAAGGTAACATTTTAAAAGGTTATACATATAAAATATATAAAAAATCTTACTTTTGCTTTAATATAAAAATAATAGCACAATAAATCATTGTAGCGTATTCGAGAGTGTGTCAGAAACAATTTAGAGATACTGAATGTTAAGAATCAAGTTCGTCTAGCGAAAGTGTATAAAGAAAATTGGCACGGGTAAGTCCATGTTATAAAGGGTATAGTACAGATTGGATCAGACGGTGTGAAAGGCCAATGTTTTGGGAGAGAAATGTCTTAGATTGAATGAAATAGGGAGGCTGTAGAACGTCTCCTTTAACAGAACATAGCTCATATAAGTCTGAACCTATTTTATATGCTGTGTTTTATATAACAATGATGTTATATAATAATAGATATATATACTTTTCTTATGAATCAATAATCTCTAACAAAATTAACTATAGATATGAAGAAATTGATTGTTCGTTCAGAAAATAATATGAATGTTAGTTTGAAAATACAACATCGATCTGAAATATCTAAGTATTTTCTCGAGCGAAGTTCTTGGCAATAGCTAGTATGCGTATCATACGAAAAACTTAGAAAAGCCTGGATAAAGTTTGTTCAAAAATAAATGTTAAATAGAAAATTTATGAACGTTTTCTCTTATTGTATAAAATACGAGTATGTAAAGAAGGTAGTGCAATACTTTGGAGTTTAGTGGAGAGAGGTATGATATTAAATATGGAAGTAAAGCGCCTGTCTAAAAAATATAGTTCTTTTTTCTACACATTTGCGACTTCACTAATATGGGATACGATTTCAACATTCCTTCATAACATAGCTTTTACTATTATGTACAGTTTTAATGTCAGTGGCTAATAAGTTTTATAAATATGTATCATATTTAATCGCATTAAGTAATTTGATTTTCCAAATATTTTAGGATAGCTGTAATCGTGAGAACACGAAACAGCATCTAAATATTTGATAAAGGACTTTTTGTTCCTCTATTATAAATAACTTTTAAATTGTTTTCAATCAACAAACTAAAGATTATAAACGAGCAAAAATATTGTTAAAACAAATACCTACTGTATTTATACAAATCAAATAGACTTCCACGTAAAAGCCTCGTTTAGCCAAATATGAAAATGACACCCCAATAATATGTGTAAATCGAGATAGGATAACTGTCTACAAAGTGGCAGATGAGACAAGCGTTATGACGATAAAAATCGTTATCAGAATTATAATGTGATTAATGTACTGTTCGGAATTCATTTGATGCATCGATTTTCATTTAAATTAACAAAGTTCTACCATCTTTAATAGATGAATCGGTTTTATTTAGATTTGTTTTAGTCGCTGACCGAATCTCTACTTCCCTGGAGGTATTTAGTATCTATATCTATTGGTTCTGTTAATGACAGTTTGATAAATGGCTGAACTTGTACGAGTACAAAAAAGTACCCGAAAGTATATACAGTATTACTTATTTGGAATTTATTAGTAGATTTCGTTATTGCTCTTAGTTTGATCGGAAAATGGTTTGAAACATAAATTATTTTACTTTTATTTTCATAGTAACATATAAATATATGAACTATGTACATATTTATTTTGATATAAAATCTTAAGAAAATTTTTGGTATATTAGATATCCCATGAAAATGACTAAATGATGATTCAGGATAAAATAAAATTTTATTACGTAATGGCCTCGTCATGGTAAAAGGAAATTGTGAGAGCCATTTTAATACATCTCCTCCCTGACATAGAACAGCTATGGATGGCAATTTAATGAATGTGAGATCCATTTACTCAGTTAATAAAAGTATGAAATATTAAAATTGAAAATGGCTACCAGTTGATTAGTCTATGCTACTCTTAATTTTCGTACCGTACGATATGGTCATAACATATGAAAAAATAATTTTACAATTTAAATACACTAATTATAATTAATTAAATATAATTTATTTATTTATTGATCCTAGTATAAATACTTAGGAGGCAAGCACTCTATCTCATCGCAGTCGGCGTAAAATTCATCGGTATTCGCTAAGCAGATATTTAAATCGTTGGCCAGTCTTTTATCACTTCAGACCAAACTCGTGAGGGTTGTTGTTGTACTCCATAAATAAGGCTTCATATATTATTACAAATATTTCTGGTTTTTGGGCCGCATAAAGTCTGCTAGAGATGCTTACGTAATGCAAGACACGCAAAACGAGCAGGTTAATAGATCAGACAGTCTTTAGTATGTCTGAAAAGATATAAAACCAACACTACTCAGATACATTAGATTTTGCTTTATATATTATGTCGAATTATTTCTTTTTATAATCTTGACTGCCTTTGTTCATCGTTTATTACCTAGTTTTATTTTTATAATAAAAAGTTTGCTTAGGACGTTTTAGTACATAGCCCTTTTAATTTCAACATTTATAATCCGAAATTACTTTTGTACATTCAAATATACTAGTTTTTCTTGTGACTTTGTTCAGGTAGATTATAATCTACCAATATGTGTATTTTATAAAATATGTAGTTCAAAATGAAGTTTGTTCACAACCGCTAGCACCATTTAATGTTTATGGGACTTTAGAAAATGGATCTTGAATTATGAATTTAGGTACATAATTATCTTTAATTTTATTCTGATGAATAAGTTATATTACTGTTAATTGCAACAAAATAAAAGTAACAAATATGTTACAGGACACGGACACCTATTCATCCGATAATTATAATACATACAACTTACTTATAATTTTAATAGGATTTATAACCTTCTCACCTTAGATTTTGGGCTTAGTTCTGTATAATGACTCAACAAATATCTACATACTACAATAATACTCAAATCGATTAAATGGTTTTTGCACTATTAGTAACAAACATATTTACAAAAAATTTCTTATGTAATAGGCCGTAATTGACTTTTATTTTAATTGCCCATTCGCTAAATCTGAAAAAAAAATAGAATTAAAACTCAAATTATTACAGCGAATTTTTTTGATGCTTAATGTACGCAGTAAAATCTCAAAGCCGATTATAACGACGTACAATTTGCCGAAATCAATTTACTCCTTTTTCATTTAGATGAGAACATTTAAACAAGCTAAAGTAAATACATTAAGGTTAAAAATATAATTAACCCTTTTTCATTTGGCTACATCGAAGTAAAATATTTACGAATTATATGTAATTATTAAATCCAGATGTCTTCAGATCTTGGAATGATTCAAATATAAATGAATGTTTTGTTCCACAAAACGCAGTTTATATTGATAAGAAGATTTATTAGCTTTCTTAACGCTCAGGGTAGTTTTCGTATCGCCGATAAATAGCCTGAACCTTTGATAAACGCAACCCCCGGGGTATAGCTTACCCATATTTGTACCTCATATAAATATTTTATAAATCTTAGAGGTAACGTTATAAAAAAGTAAGAGTACAAGAATAAGACAATATTTTATTTTGAATATACTTATGAGATTTACGAAGTACACATTAATTTATTTTATTGGTGTGAATAAATCGCGTTACTTCGAATTTATTTATGTCGGCATAATATGGAAATATTACTGCAGAATGTCCAACTTCCGAACCAAAGATAAGAATAATACTTAGAGAATACTATTTCGATTTGAATAGAATTTTGAACAGATTCAGTTATAAGTTTGGTTTGTTCTATGAGATCATGGTTATAGTTCATATGGTACTTGTTTGCGAGTGTTGAGGCAATTGGATCGGAATATGTATATCTTTGTTTAGTTCGTTGTGTTTGAGAATTAGCAGTATACATTAATAAATATTTAATAAAAGACAATTTTCTTTTACATAAAACTTGTGTTATTTGTCATAAGCACACACACATATCACATACAAACACACACACACATGTGTATATATATTAGGGAGCTTTAACTATTAATAGATCTGGTATATCCGATAATGTCGCGTCTGAATAATATACGATTTTGCTACACTTTAACACAAAATCAGTAAGAATAAAACTTTATAATAATTGAGGTAAGTATCGAAATTATAAGGAATTTATTAAATCCATTAAATATATACGTTTGGATTGAAGAAATTCCAGTCTAATATTGGATTTGATACTTTAGTAACAAAGATCATAGATTAATTTAATTAAATCAATCCTTTAAGGTATCCATTGGATGTTATTTCAACCTTAATGTAAAATA